TCGTTTACATTATCTATTTGTGTATAATATGCATTTGTGTCAAAAGTGGCGTCAACGATGTATATTTGTGTAAAGTGTGGCGTTTACAATATATATTAGTGCCAAGTATGGCGTTTACAATATACATTTTGTCAAGTGCTCTGTTCAAAATAATCATTTAGGATAGCGTTTTACTCATTTGCATACACACACAGGACAACAATAACATTAACGGGTCATATGAGACCCTTAACAAAATTCAGTTTGTCTGACCTGTTGGGTAAGGGTTGTGGCCGCCAACCTGTATGTCGCAGCTGGCCGTACTCCTTGAGTCATCCGTGCATTCTGATTTGTCTCCTCTGATATAGTAACACTGCATGTCTTGCCACTTGCAACAACGTGCTATTGCCCTCACCCCTACAAAAACAAAATATCATGTTTTCAAGCAACCACGCCCTCTAGCGGGGACGATGACTGAAATCCTTCAATATGGAAGTTGTGTAACCGTTCGTAATTTAGAATATATACGTAATAATTGTCTCAAAAGTAATATTTCGTAATGCTAACGGTTTGGGCGATTTACAACAAAGGGGTGTTGTGTCTGGGCGTGACTTAAAGTGGGAGGTTTGTCACCTGCGCACGCGCGGAAATTGAGTCCCAAGCGATGATAACAAATACGCGCAAAAAACGCAAAGGCTCATGGGTAGACGCTTGTTTGTAAACAATGACACGATATGGTCATCTGACACATGCGCAGGTTACGACTCCCTCGCTTTAAATGAAAGATGTATATGCTACAGGCCAGTAATATAGGTATGATATGAACGATTAGTCAATAGTCAATTATTATTTAATTAATGTAAACGATTAATCAAGGTTGAAAATACGAATTAAAGTGTCTTGACTTTTGATATCAAATCAATGTCACTAAATATCATTTCATCATTAAATACTCTCTGTGCAACAAAGGCATCATCCTTATAAATATGTATAAATTAATAAATTCGACTGAAACGAAAGTAATTGAATGTCATCGTTGTGTACCGTGCTCTTGATTGGATGGTTTGATTCAAACGCCATTGAAATTTATGAATATTTTAAAACAACGCTGAAAATCCCTTTGTTGCGCACGCTTGATCTTAAATTTATATATGGTATATTTTCCCACCCTAGCACCAGTAGTGCGCATGTGCCGCCTACCTTTGCCAACCAAGTACCAGTAGTGCGCCCCTACCTTTTCCTTCGTATCCGTTCTGTGCCACGCACACCGGTTTACCGCCGCTGTCTGCCTTGATGTACTCGCCGTCTCTGGTGCCCGCGTTACCGTTCGGCAAATAACTATTACATCCGGTCATTACTTCGTCGTCGTTGCATTTTATCTCTACCATAGCGTCGTCATCAGATGCCGAGAGTGCAGACCAACGCGAAGTACATTTTGGGTCTTGTGCTGCAGTGATGGCATCAGCGCCGCTTCCCTGGAAATGATATATGTGTTTTATGTTTGAGAACAAGGGAAAGAAAACACATTCTTAAATCACCAGAGGTAAAAGGGTATTATTCGTCGCTTCGCCTCGTGTTCAATGTGGGTCCCATGGCGCGACGTGTACAACCCGTTTCAACTACATTTGTTCACACGAGATTCAAACACTCGATGCGTGAAGAGAGTGGCGTTTAAACAAATCTAGACCGATACATTCCCAAGAGCAAATCAAAAAAGTCCTCAGAAAATTAGAATTGTAAAATTGTCACAGAACATGAGAGCATGACAAAGAAAGAGCTTCATGACATGAACACATCGCTCATGACTTGCGCCATCTAGCGACGATCCGCCTATGTGAGTGAATGAATCTAATGGGCACCTTTTACAGCGCTGATATTATAGTAGAAGTGTAATCGTCTGTTAGTAAATACTTTTTTGAAAAGTTTGTTTTATTATAAATGACGAACGACATCAATTGGTTGCACCCGTTTGTGTCATTTTGACGTCACGGAATCGATTCGTCGATAAAGGTCGACAAGACTAAGGTGTTCGGGTGTTAATATAGTTGTCACATATTAAGCTGCCGGGCGCACACTCAACATGGTACAATCGCGACTGCCACCAACGAGGCAGCGATGGCGTCACCTAGTGCCGTCTGCGCCACAAAAAACATATCAGAACGTCGATCCAAGAACAACACAATTTAGGTAAGACGCACCCAAAATCCCAATTGGGCGGCGCAGACGGGTGACAAAGACAGTGAGAATGCTTGTTTTGCCTGTGTACTAGTATTTTACGAGCGACAAATCGTACAGTGGTATAATTTCCATATGTTTGTATTTTTGCTGAATACTAGAACTGCACTTATTCGAATGACCGTGTATGCATACAGTTTTTCACGCCATGTATAACCTCACTGGCGGTTCCAGAAATTTGGTAACGGGCGGAGGAGCGGGGGGGGGGGGTGTTACTGGGATTGAATCGTCCCCCGACGAGGCTGAGGAGATTTTTGTTGCCAGCCGAATGAGGGGGGACCTCTAGGGTATATAGTAACAAAGGGAAGAGGTAGATAAATACGTTTGAAGGCTTAGAGTGTCAGATACAAGTCAGTTCACATTTTAACGTACTGTTCCGCATCACAAAACCCTGTTTATATGTCGGTGGCAAGCTGCAAAACAGTTAGCCAAAATAATCCATGGTGCAAAGCGCTCGCGGCCAATCTAAGCCCATAATATGATGAATCTATGTAAGTATGTGATACTTTGGTTGATACATTTTGTGTGGTTTATCTGATATATAGGAATAATCACGATGCACAGATGCAGCGCTTGTACGTGTAGTTATCACGCAATATTTCTCTTCATTTTGAGTGCAAAGCATTCGCCACTCTTACAGCATGGCCTTTTTTTTCTCGAAATTGAAATAATCTAAAAATTACGAGGTCCGTGCGCACCTAGAACAGCGAAACAGCAAACTGAAGGGAATTGGGGAGACAGATTTTAAGTTCATCTTCGCAAGGGAACAACTTGCCACAATGGGCATACACAATTTATTCAACTGTTAAAAAAGAACAAAAAACTATCCCACATCACACCGTAATTAGATGACGACAGTATCCCCGGGCCAATTTCCACGCTTTACCCACAATAATTCGAATGGTTCGCTCCTGGCGTTAAATAAGGCTAAGAGTGATGTTTACTGCCATCACCTACCAACTCATCTTCGTGTTAATGAACATTTCGTGCTAAAGACAATGTTTATTTTTCGTCATCGCGTGCTGCACCAAATTTACCAAGGTCACGTTTGTTTATTTTACATACAGGAGTCTTTTGATCGGGAGATATTCTCCCGATATTTAACCCCATTTGTGCACCCCAAGAAAAGTTGTTGAGAGAGATTCGTCAAAAATATAGCAATGCAATGGATACAATTTAGTGAGAATATCCTTTTCGACTGGGGAGATAATAATAATTTTATTAACACTTACACATTCCCCGGAGGGATTGGCAATGGTTACAAAAGTTTAAGAAGGAATAAAAGGTTACCAAAGGTTACAAAAAATAAATAGATAAATTAAAACAAACCCGTAAAAATTAGGATACTACAATAGATAGAAAACAAAATGCAAAACGTGAAAGAAGATTGTCACTGGGGTTGCTGTCTTATTTCAAAACACTTCTTTAGGTACCTTGCTACAGGGAGTGTTAGACCACATTTTTAGCAAGACTATGAATTGTGTCTTTGGTGACAAGTTTTTAAAGTTTTGAATTTTGGTTTTTGCCATTTCGAATAGGACATTTCTTTCGGGGGTATATCTGGCGAAAGTGTCTCGCAGGAGAAAGAAACTGACTACAAGAAAGAAACTGACTACCTACAGTCGTTGTTGTACTGCGTCGCGTTCGATATGAGTCCCGTTCACAACCCCTACAATGCGAGTACATTTATACCGTGTTCCTTTACGCCGAAGTAAATTACGTTGACGCAGAGAAAAACAAATGTGAACACGTCACACCGGTATGAAGGGGTTTAAAAATGGCGGGATTTGAACACCTTTGAAGATGGGTATTATCACAGGCGTATCTAAATATGTAATAGTTTTGTCGGCGTAAAGAACAGATGAGATCATGTCACTTAAAGGTGCCTGGAAGCAATACTGGCAGATATCGCAAAAGGGTGTTGCACATTGGCGTCCTAAACTGTCTTTTGTTTAAAGCATAGACAAGCTCACAGTGTGTGCCAAATTTTAAGGCAGTTTAGGTCGTTATAATATCGGCATGTATACGTCGTTATACTCGAAATACGCCGTCTAGTTCCAAAGAGCCCATGCCAAGTGTCACGCACGTTTTTGTCTAAGATATTTGACCTCTTAGCCCGTGCTAAGAATCAGAGCGTGAACGTTATTGACGTTCCAAATAGAACTAAAATGAGATAAGTTCTACGTTCAACAACGTTAAGTGTACATTTAATTTAATTATTTTAGTAATTATGACATTGTACATAGTCAAGAAGTGTCAACTATTATTGCTTGTTTAAAAAAAGGAACACAAAAGACAGAGAACTATTTGTTATGTACGAGTCAGCGTCATTGTCCTCCGCGTCAGATCGCCATACTTGAGATACTCTTATCTTAATTTAATTACCGGGTACAACTTATGTCACGTATTTTTTTTATAATTTGCGTTTGCGCACAGCTTCTTAGCGCAGCCTTAGAGGCCAGAAACATTTTAACCTCGGTCTTGGATTCTCAGAGCACGGGCTAACGAAATGTGCGCGAAGTGAGAACACATCAAACACTGTTTGTTTACATGAATTTAAACGTTATACGAGAACAGATAAAAGAAAGAAACAACCGACCAATTGAATCAGGGCAGTAATATGGGCAATCAAGGGGGAGGGAGCTCACACGTCAGTTGATAATATTTCCAACAACTTCCTTACCGAACTGCCTACTTGCACAAGTGACACGGTTATACATTGGAGTGCAGCCGCCGTGAACGCAGTGGACGTCTCTGCTGCAGTAAGCCATCCCGTGGTGGACCATGCAAGGAAATACACAACTGATACAATTCCGAAAATATCAAATCGTAACATGACTTGAATACTTGAACTTGCTGTACTAGACTGCAATGTCAAAACGGCGACTACATTAAAATAGCTGAATTCGTGCGTAGATCATCTTTAAGGGATAGGCCATTTGAATTCTTGGGGGGGGGGGTTAAGTGAGTTGGGAATCCGAGGAAGGGGACAAATTTCAAATTGACTTTAGTGTTGTATTTAGCCACGATGTGCGTGCATGTAATCGGCTGTTAAACTATAAAGGGAACAAATATGAAAGTGATGAAATTGTCCTCACTTCCACACTCTAGCTACAGTAATTCGAATGGTTCACTCCTGACATTAAACATGGCCAACGATGTTAATTGTCATCTTCGTGTTGATTGATTTCGTGCTAAAGACACTGTTTATTTTCGTCATCGCGTGCAACATCAAATTTTACAACTGTTCGCTTCCGGGCCTTGCCCAGATAGTAAATTATCTCGGGCACTCACGAGATGCCCCAGATAGCTTTTCGATTTTAGACTAACCGAGATGAACTATTCCACTACCTGTGGGGACGGTCATAGTGGTATGGGAAAACAAATACTATTTACTCAGTGATTTTGCCTGGCCGCGACATACTCCGTGACGCTCGCGATACAAAATCGACACTCAGAATCGAAAATACGGACATATGATCATCGCCAGGCGGACATTCTTGTTTTTGTTTATGCACTTTAAATGCGGCGCGGTTGTGTATTACATGTAGTATATACATCATTTGAACGACCCAAATAATGATTTTTCTCCGAGTATATGTTACTATTATTTCCGCGTTTTTATCAATTATACACACTATTGAATTAAATATTCAGATGTACTCTTAGGCAAAGATAAAGGTCTAGCTTCTCTTCATCGCGTGCATCAGTTTAAAGCCTGTGCATCACACATTTTTTTTTCAATTTTGCGTACTGGTAAAGTGCGCCACATACGGCAGAATAGGAAAATGTGAGTTTTCTGTTTTAGAGTATATTTTGTTAATCCAATTCAACCTTCAGTGCACGAATTTTAAATCATTATTCAATAAATATTAAATATTTGACATATATAGTGTTGTTGTTGCTTATCATTCTTAAAAACCGCCGGAATCACTGCATCATCTTAATTGTTTTTTGTTCAACTTGGGTCCAAAAGCAAAATATATTTCGACCTTATAGTACGAATCGCATGTTATTTGGCTTGTTCCGTTACGGAATATCACAGTCGGTATTTTATTCTGCAACTTAATTTCAAATTCGAATAGATTATATGTACATGTATATGAACACACGTAAATTGAACAAAACATATTACAATAACAACAAAATCAAAATCAACAGCTTTCTTCAAGATAGCGGTTCACGTTTATATTATAGAATTGTTTACTACATCTTAGTTAGATTAAATGCGTCAAAGCGTTTCTATGCTGTCGCTCAAAATGATCCTGTTAACCACAACAACGATACTGGAAGACAAATACGTGTGAACCCGTCGACTCTTAAAGTTATTAGGAATTACTAACGTCTTAGTTAGATTAAATGCGTCAAAGCGTTTCCACGCTGTCGCTCAAAATGATCCTGTTAACCACAACAACAATACTGGAAGGCAAATACGTGTGAACCCGTCGACTCTTAAAGTTATTAGGAATTACGCGGCGCATTATAATTATTCGGGAGTTTACCGATTTATATGAATAAACAATATTCACTAATAACTGTATAAAAACTTCAAGCACGCATCATTTTGCAAATAAAGATGCAAAAGTGCTTTCTGGAGTAATTTCTAAAATGCGAGACATTGAAAGGAGATTAACCAGCAGTCTCCAAATTTCTTTTTATGACGTAGAAAACATGGTTGGTGACGTAAAACGCATGATTGATGACGTACTAAAGCATGTTGATGACGTAGAACGCATGGCTGATTCGTAGAAGCATGGCTATCACAGAGAAATTAAAATTGCTGGTGACGTAAAGCATGTTTCATGATAACCTTCTATAACATGTCGTTGACGTACCTGAAGCGTGTCTGACGAAATACTAAAGCAGTGTTTGCGCAAATTAACAAAATATTCAGAACCAACTCACGTGCCCACAGTTACCCAAGTTATTATATTACGATGGACACGCTATCGATATTTGAACTATGGGGTCACTGTAATATTATAATAGCGGTAATTCGTGGAAATGTTTACATAGTTATTGTTGTAACATTATACATTACTGATCTAACATTATTGACGTTTGCACAGTAGTGATACAAGCACGCATATCATGCTGAAATATTTTATTACACGATGGCGACACTCAGACAATATACATGATGAATTGTATACTCCAAAAGACAATACAACCACACACACGTTAGACCTGTTAACATTATCGGCTAGAAATTTGCAAGCGCCGTCAGTTTGGACAAGCGTTATATGTATCAATGGTCTGTACGCGAGACTACGGACAAAACATGCTTCAATTTGAGACGATACGCGAGTCGGACACAGTCACTCAGTGGAAGACATTGACAGTCAATTGCGACCGAGGCAGGGGCGGACAGGAAAAGTCCAAAACGGCCGTCTGCTCTATGCTACCCGTCTAGCCTCAGCACTATCTATTGTGCGTGAAAACCGGGAACAATTACAAATAAACTGCCACTCCCATTCGGTACAACCATCTACATACTGCGTCAAAATGCTCTGGCCCAACAAACTTAAAAGCGCAAACATAAAAAAAAAAGTAATTTTAGAAAATAAGTCAGAATGAACGAAAACAATTTAAAAAAAAAATATTACCTTAATACAAAATAAACAAACGGTCACCAGTACCGCGAGCAGGTGTACGTTAATTCCCGTCATGTTGTACAGTCTGTCTTCGAATTATGGTGCATTAGATGAGTACGTTGTTGTCCTGTGTGTTCTCCCTGTCATCTAGTGTTCGTGACGACGTCTCGCTGTGAGATCTCGTAAATCATTCGTGACCAAAACTAAAAATGTAGAACTGAATAATTCACGACACGCAACGATGTAGTTAGTTTCGTTACCTGCAAAAGTTTGTGTAAATAGAGTCCACCTGAACTCCGCTACGAAAAAAATACAGGAACAACAATCAGTTTAAGCATCAGAATCATTAAGTAAATAATTTCTAAATTTATTCATTGGTGGACTTTTTTTTATATATTTGACGAGAAAGCGATGCCTCATACCCGTAATACTGGTAGTGATAAATTATAAAGTTAAAAATACGACAGAATTGGTATTTATCTCGCAAGAAGTTTTGATGCAAAAACACGTCCCAAAAAAACTTACATATTAGGGTCAATGTTGTTTTTCAAAACACCATTCCCCTGTGTCGGCCCTTTGGAGACACAGAGATTCTGTGACGTCAAAATGACGTATTGCATTGGTGAAGACAATGTCAAACCGTTATTTGTGTTTGTGTAGTCGCTTTTTTCTAGAATATAATAAAATCGTTCAAAAACTTAATCATCAAGAACGAGAAAGACGGTCTCATGTCACATATTCACTCAGTAACAACAATTCGTCACTGGATGGTGTGAAATTAAAGGACGGTGGTCGTTGCACCGCGTCCTGTTCGATATGGGACACGTAGCGACGTATACAACGCGTGTAAAATAAACTGTTTATTTACATGAAATTGCGCGACGAACACTATTCTTTAACATCTTTCACAACTTTTTTGCGTGAACAGGTTTACCATGAAATAAATCCCCAGATATGTAGGTTCAATTGAATTTAGCACGCACAGTGAGCTGTCCTAGTTCATCTAAAAATGGGGATGACGCGTCTCCATGATTATTGCGTGTAAGAACGGGGTTGTGCGTGATAAGAGAAGATACACAGTAGAGTCCACTATTTAGTGATGGTACTCTTTTACGTTAATGATACACAATCGCTTCATTATGTGACTTGTTGCTTGTAGGTTATGATGAATGTGTAATATTGCAAATGTTTGACATTTTATTGTGTTTTTTTTTTCCAATTATAAAACACAATATTACAGTATTGACCTTTACCGCCATTCTTCGTCTGAGTTCTGGTGGTGGCGCTGTCTGCGGCTGATATGCCAGCGTGTGTGTTCGCGACCACACTGACAAGTCGCGCGAGCATTCGGCCGTTACTACCATCTACTACTAAGAAGTGAGCCACACATTAACATAATTATGTACAGCCAAATTGAAGATCAAAATAAATTTATCACGAATTGGAAAGGCGCCGCTTTAAATTTATAAATGCGGCCCAACGTCACCAGGCGTGATATGAAAAACAGAGGCGGCGGCACGAAGTTTCTCCTTACAAACCTAAAAAAATAATTAAAATAACAGTGTCGATCATAAAGCAAACTGTTCAAATAGGACGAAACAATTGGATTTGCGAGGTTCTCTCCACTCCGCGAAGCGCTCTCACATCAATCAGATTTTCTATTGTCTTTGCTTAAAGCAAGCTATTGTATCACGATATTCATTATTGTTGTTTGGTCATCAGTGCTGTCGCGTCAAGCAATGAAATACAACTCGAATCCTCCGACTGTGTCTCATCTATTGGCTAATGGTGATCCCAAACTCTCTTGGTGGGAGTATGTTTAAAATTAAATTTGAATAAAACAAAAGGCGGGAGAGAGAATGCCCAAAATGCAGCTTGAGATAACATCTGAGCTAAACAAGCCAATTCACATAGCAGTGCTTACTTTTTTCCGAAGCCTGGCAGGCAGCCTGTGAATACAACCGGAATTATAGCTTACTAGTACAACATATGGACATAACGGTATACAAATATATACAGGGGAGTAGTACATTCTTAAACGTATCAAAATGACTAGTGACTGTTTTTATTTTCATGTTGTTCATGAAATAGAATACGACTTTTGGTATACCAATATCACTACAATATAAATAAATAAACGCTGCTCGGACTGATAAATATGATATATAGAAGATAAT